AAGAATATTTACAAATGTGTTTATCATTATCAAAGAGGAGAAAGAAGTGATTACACCAAAGAGAATGCCATTATGTGTCTACAGCAAATAAAATGTACCTCTGTATTTTTGTGCTTGTGTGTATGTGTGTGTGTGCGTGTGCGTATGAAAGAGAGGGAGAGAGTATGAAAGTGAGAGTGACATTTTTATGTTGAATAAAATTTTTCGCGTAATAATTAATTTTCTTTATTGTTCGACATGAAAGTTGTAAGTTTTGTGTAATTTTTTATAAAATTTTAAATGCTGACTTATCGAGAGATTTCAATTACTTTCAAATGAACGATTTCTGCCATGGAAATTGCATTTGAAAATGAAAAGAAAATAATACTATATTTCAATTTTCGGTATTTATTAAAAACTGTTCTTGTATTTTCAGAAAAAATACGTTCAATCAAGTAACAGTCTTTCTCTCTCTGCTTATATCTGTGTGCATGTTTTCTTTCTATTTTTCTTCTATTTTCTCATTCTCATTTTCATTTAGCCCTGCTCGTTTTTCTTGGGGTTTCTTTCTCAATTTTTCTGTTTCACTAGATTTCTCTTTGTTACTTCATCTCTATCACATTTCCTTTTTGCTTTGTGACTCGCTTTCCTTCCTTCTGTTTGTTGATCTGTCTCTGTCTATCTGTCTGTCTCTCTCTTTCTCTTCACTGAGCCTAACATGTAATCAATAAAATGTACTAAAGACAACTAAAATTCACTGCTAAAATTCATTCATCAATTCGACAAGTTTTTCTACACTATACCAGATTGTATTATGCAAGTCAGTGTTTTCATAATGAAATTAACATTGACTAACAGATTTTGGTAAACATTTTCATCCTATATATATATATATATATATGTGTGTGTGTGTGTGTGTGTGTGTATGTGTGTGTGTGTGTGTGTGTATTGGTCTTTATTTTTATTAGAAATATAATAATTTATTTGGTAGTGTGAGGTTATACAACCTGAAGATTGCTCATCATATTGTAAATAAATATATACGATAGTAGAATTATTGATATTTCTTTGTTTTTTTTTTAATTTCAGATATGTAAAGTTTACCTTTCGTGATAAAAGTAAATATAACCTCAAAAAAGAAAGCAAGATAATGTAAAGAATGAAAGGAAATTGTGAAACGTTAAACAGCGAAAGCAGAACATTAAAAAAAGAAATTGAAAACATTGGAAAAATAAGTACAAGAAAAAAGGCTTCAAGAATTTCACAAAAAGAAATTTGAGAAAAATTAAAAGAGTAATAAACAATGAAAATGGGTTGCAATGCAATAAAATATTTGAAGTTTGTGTTTCGAATGTAAACAAAAGGGAAAGATGCAGCATATGATGAGCATGAAGGGATAAGAACATGGAAGAAGCTAAAAGTAAATATCACCAAAAAAAAAGTCATGTGTAAGAAGTACGTGAGAATTGATTTCTCAAGATTCATTTTTACTGATAAATGTAAAGCTGAAATAGACGTGTTAGAGATTGGGTCCTTCCTAAAAAATAGTTAACCAATAAGACAACAGATACGAGTAATGTTTTGATCTCATTGTATGGAGTAGAAGTCAAGACGACTGCAAAGAATTTCTTTTGACTAGTACAAGTCACAAAGCTTATATTCTGACAAAACAACGCTCCATCATATTCTATATATCTATGATGCCAAAAATAAGTCCCAAATAAACCAAATTAATGGAATAGTTCCCACCCTCTCCAAATGTTAATGATAAATTTTGAACTAAATTCAATTAAAGAATATCTATGGGAATCAATAAAAATTAATGTTGAACACATCTAAAATAATACAAATTTCTCTTTTACACAAAATGACAAGAAATTTTTGGGAGAATAAAATCTTTATTTTATTTATTTTCTGTGAGTTGTCATTTTCAGTCGTCTAGAGTCACATTAGTTTGGGCGACGTTCATCTATATATGGACATTCAAATATTAAGAATTTAATCACGTCTTATTTTTTATTCAATAAAAAATTCATAAAAGTTAACGGACATTATGTGGTAAGGTAAATCTGTTTATAAATCTAATTGTTAAAGCCAAATTTTTAATGAAAATTACTTGAATAAATACGATTTCTTCTGAATATTTTTATCTTAATTCTGATGTTGAAAAACAAAAACTGTGATGAATACTGCATGGATAATCACTTTAACACACTAGGGCTTCATTGTGTCTTTCCTAGAATAACCTTACATTTGGATGCCAAAATCGATTGATCACCTAGCTGCAGGTATATATGCATTGGAACCGTAATTAGCTTTATTGATAGTTAACACCACAAAAACCTCTTGTTGAAGGCAACTTGTCGTAAATTCAAAATAAACTCTTTTTCGGAAATTAAAAGATAACTAAGAAAAAATGGAACATGTTTTATTCGTTTTATTTTGGAACTGAATTTTTTTAGAAGCAAAATTAAATATCCAAATTTAATTTTTAAAAAAATGTGGTTACAAAGTCAAGGTCTTTTACACTAAATGAGCAAATGTCTCACTGACTCTATTGTTACTGAAGAGCATAAATTCCATCTGCACTATGTGCCCGATAGTTGTAAAATAAGCTGAGTAACTACCTAGAATGCTGATTTCAAAAAAATAAAAATGTCTATAAGTAGTTGTCTTTCTGGTTAAACAAGTTGATGCAAGAAATTGCTTTTCAGCCAGCATTGAGAACTAAATTGCACTTAGTCCCTACAAAGCTGTGTGCAAGTTACCGACAAATCTACAATATTTACGGAAATCAGTGCGCTTGTAAATTCTTTGTAAATCGACAAATTCGTTTCTATTCGTTTGGTATCTGATGTAGTTGAATATTGCATAGCGGCACTGACACAGGTAGTCAGTGACTGGAAACCCTGATTAACTAAGGCTGATTTGGGCACCCCGGCGTGGTGTAATGGTTAGCAAGCTCGTTTTGCTAGAACAATTGCGATTGAGTAGTGAGTTCGATCCTCACTGGGTACCCCATACTTTCGGCCTTGTGCCACATCTAAGCTACGCTTGGAAAATCTCAACTAAAGCTGATTTGCTTTCAAAACAGTCAAACTCTCCTCACTAGAAAGATTATTACAGCATATTTCTTGGCCATTTACCAGACTACGATATGCATATTATAAATATCTCCAGAAATTCGTATAGAAATGTATTATATTGAAAAGACGATTGTCATTTGAGAAATTGCACAAAGAATCTATTTCTTCGTTATCCCTAACTGATGTTCTATGAAGCGTTGAAAGAATTGCTTCATCCGAATCTTCGAAAGTTCAGGTGTTAATCGCAGAATTAACGATTCTAAACTGAGGATAAATACTTACTTGTTGAATGTGAGGGCCAATCTATTAATCTCGCAAGCTATCGATAGTCAGTGTCTTCTTCAATGAAGGTATCTTATGCCAAACTTTCCTCGGTTCAACAAATATCTATATTAATTAGAATACTAATTCTATCGCACCTAAAATGTATTTGTATTGAAACACATTTCATGAAAATGTCTCAGTAAATAATAAAACGTCCAAAAATGTCAGTGATTCCCTGGGGGTGAATTCTTGTTTGCAGACATTTTTGAATTTGTTTCAACAATTAGTTAATCTCTGTAGCCTTTCGCTGCATACAAATCAATGACTGATCAGAAAATTGTTAAACACTTGAAAATTCTCTTTTGTTCATCTGAATACCAGTATGGGTTCTTTTATAACCGGACAATAACTAGAAGCAAATAGAACAAAGTGTTTTAACACTCACTTCCTTCCTTCCTTCCTTCCTTCCTTCCTTCCTTAGCCTACTCTTTTCTTCAAATTCTTTCTTTCTCTAGAGTGTGTGTAGTTTTTTAGAATATTACTCTCCATTACCTTAAGACACAAAACCATTCACGGGCACATATGCACGCACAACCTAGAAATAAATACACACATACATATTTATTCATATACACACATACATATTTATTAATATGCACACAGATTTACTAGCAATACCAGTGCTTTTTGGGGGTATTTTGTTTTTGTTTTTTTTTTAATTTTTTGATAAATCTTAATTCTTAAGTTAATGAGTGAATAAGCTCCTTGCAAGTTCCCCGACAATAAAACACGTGTGGAATCTCCGCGAATGGATCGTGAACTATTTGAGCACAATATCACAATCACAATCATAAATATGAATGCAATTCATTATTTAAAGAAGGACAAATGAAAAGGTTCACCATTAGAATGTTTTTCGTTTCAATGAAACCGACGTTAATCACATGACAGTATTATCACCTCCTCTAGCATTTTTTTCTTTCTTTTCTCTTATTTACCCTAAAAACCAAACAGCGTTTTTAATATATATTTTCTTTCGTCTCTCTTCGCAATCAAACAGGAACGGTCCATTGTTTATTTGTGGCAATGACACGGCGTAACGTAGGCGCTAAGGAAAGAAAAACAAGCGACAAGGGAATTATACGTTATATTTATTTACATTTACTTACATGAACTAAAAAAAGATTAATCGTTGTACTGACAGATCGGTAGGCATATTTTTAAAAAATTACAATATCATAGATTATACAAGTACCGAAATTCTCTAAATGTTTGGGTGAAAAAAGAATTGTGTGTGCGCGTACATGTGTGTGTGTGTGTGTGTGTGTGTGTGTGTGTGTGTGTGTGTGTGTGTGTGTGTGTGTGTGTGTGTGTGAGCGTCGCGCAATCTCGCACGGGCATCAAGAGGTCGGATCTTTCTGGGCAGGCTCATATTTAAGTACACACACTCTCTCTCTCACTCTCTCTCTCTCTCTCTCTCTCTCTCTCTAGGCTTATGGCACATTGTGCGCCACTTTTTCTATTATTACTTCTTCTTGAAAAGTGTGGTTGGTTCTACACAATCCTTCGCAACTATAACCAAATCATGCGTGGGCATAGTTCAGTTCTAAATTGGATCCAAATGTTGAATTTCACAAATTTAAATAAACAAGCTTTTCTGAAGAAATCTTTATGCTTATATTAAATACCTTCTTCCCATATTTGCGCAATATGATTTTCTTTCTCACATTATCACTGTGTGTACGTGCGTGCGTGAGTGCGATTGCGTGTGTCTGTGCAAGTGTGTGTGTGTGTGTCCACACGTGCGCGCGCATAGTCGTATTCACACTTAACTTCTCGCCTGGCCATATAAAATCCATTTTTCGACCGAACGCCTCTTCAAAACAGAGCCATCCTGTGGCTTGAAGCCATCAGTAACAATAACTGACAGAAACAAATACAGTCTGCATGCTCTGTTTTATCTTTGAGATTAACATTTCTTCTTTTTCATTTTTTTTCAGCGTTGGACTGGTAAGTCTTGCGGCCATTTCTTTTTTTTTTAATCAAAGAAAGGGAAAAGAACAAAATTGATTACTTTCCAAGCGAAGAATTCACTTAATGGTCGAATCTCTAGAGCAGTGATAATTTTTTCAGATACTCGTCGCTTTTCATTCAACCTTCCACTTCGGTAATAAGTTCAAAGTCATCAGCATGTCATATTTAAACCAATATCTTCCTAATTTGATATGAGAAAATATAAGCGACCTGGCAGGACTTCTTTTCTTAGCTCCACATATACATCTAAACTCTAAATCCCGCTGGAATATTACTTTTGAAGTTGTGCTGGTGACTATTTTGAGTGAAGATACACCAACTGCAGTAGTTAACTGAGGGAGTTATCTCCCTTTTTACTTCTATATAGTTTTTTTATGACGTTATCAACGTTATTGGCAACTTTTTGTTGATATAACCTCCAAATTACCAGAATTCATATTATCAACAATACATTTGTTATTGTCATTAGTTTATATTAAAGTAATATTAAATACATTTTATATAATAATAGATTAGCTTTAAATTAAAAGTACTGGAAAAACTTGAAAGCAGTAGGCAAAGTTCGATATTTGCCTATTGCTTTTCATATGCAAAAAACGCTACCAAAGGCTTTAAAGATTGCTCATTAAATCAAATTCATAGATTTCTTTTCACCTTTTCGATTCATTCAAAATTACCTCATTATTCATTGGAATGTTAAACCAAAATCTATTCAAGCACCTGCTCAAATTAGATTTTATACATAATCGTAAGATATTCGTTTAAATTCAGCATTTAAAATCGTCTCTGATATCTGACGATCTTCAGGACAAAAAGTCTAAATTCAGCTTTACAGTAGGTTTGAAAAAATCTTTTCAAGATAAAGTCATAATTTATCTCTTCACTTCCAACCGTTATTCGTCTTATAGGCGATTGTGTCACATTTTAAATATCAATATAAGAACTTAATCTAAAATGGAAGTAAGAAATAAAAACTCAAATCATATCAAATGCTAAATGTAACGATACTCGGGAAAAGACATGAAATAGACAATGCTCATCAAAATATCCGGAAATTAAAGAAAGTGGAAAAAGTTGCTGGACTAAGTGATTGGATGTCATTTGTTTTTGTTTTTAATTTTGATAATTAAAACAATAAATTCCATTTTTTACATCGATATACTTGAACATAGAAACTTCATAATTGTGAGGTGGTTTGATTCTAATTGTTCTTCTGTGGGTAATCGTATGAATAGTTAATAAAAAAAGTGATCATTTCTGTCTAATAAAGGGTTCCTGGCTTCTCCCTACGCTACGCCTTACAAGTGAGAAATATATCTTGAATAAATAATAAAATAACATCTGCCCCAATTATATTCATATAAATATAAGTATTCGATCTTAATATTTAATGGAAACGAACTAGAATGACAATTCAGTCATGCATGAATGCTAGTCATCAGACAAGTTTGAAGTAAAGTTACGGACACTTGCTAAAGTTCAAAGATTTTTAATTGATTTTCATTATGTATTTGTATCGGTTGCAAGTAAAAATTGAATTTATGAACAACGCTCTTCTCCTTTAATTTTTGTTCAGTAAGGTTCGTCTTTGAGAATTCAACTCATCTAGTTTTTCGTGTTGTCCCAAAGGCATACCTCGTGTCCAAAATGGCTTGATGCCAATAATTTCCGAGAACCTAACTGAAATTGTGACTGCTTTATTCTGACTATTAGTCGTCGGCCAAGACAACACAACCCCGACTTAGACCAAATCAAACAGAAAATCTATTAGTAAGAACTGGGCCCAGTAAAAAAAGAAAGTTATCATATTAAATACAGATTCTTGTCTTTCCTTGGCAGCCGAATCGCTTCAATATTTGAAAGTAGAAAAATGTACAACACGATCTTACAAGCATCTTTAATTAAAGAAAAGAGAAATATCAAAATGAACTTTTCAGGTCATGTACTCGACTTCATCTGGCAATGAATCAATAAATTAGAACCCTTGACCGAGCATATGTCTTTAGATTCTTTCCATAAACCATCATGGACTCATTTATACCTAATAATATATAAAACACATTGAATAAACACATTGTTGAATTTATTTATCGTAAAAACGAATGCTCTGTATTGTTAGCGATTATTGTTAAGTTACAAAATGTCATTTTCTTAATATTCTATGTTGATTTCTGGAGTATTTTTTTTTACGATGATGAATTCTTTTTTAATTGCAGATTTTTAAAATTCTACTTAACATTTTATACTTTTACAAGGAATTTTCACGGAATTATTTCTAAAAAAGAAAATAATGAACGCAGTGATATTTAAAAATAAAGCAACCAAATTTAAAATCGTGTCCAAATTTTAATCAAAGATAACCGCGATAAGTTGTTCCTTTATGTTGAGACACCTTAATGTATTCTTTGTTACTTCATAAATATAGATAAATGGATGTAATTACGCACGCATATATGCAAATGATCAATGTTGAATAAGTATAAGACGGAATAAGAAATATATATTTTGAAATAATTTTTTGACAGGTTTCGTGATGATCCGGTGTCATCAGAAAAAATATTTCATAAAAACAAAATCTAAATTACCTAGACGAAACTTAATTCACGTTAAATGTCTAATCGCTTGATTTTGTCTTGAAATGTGTCATCATAGAAATTAAATTTTAAATAATCTAAAATCTTTTTTTGCTTTTCATAGTTCAAATACTCCACATTGTTTGAGTACTAATTTACTTATAAAAGGGTCTACATTGAAATAAGACAGGTGGCCTATTAACCACAGGAGACACATAGATCATGGCACTTTCAATAAATAATCTTTAACATTGAAAACGCCTTTCACTTTTTTATTAAAACGGCATTTTCCATGTCAAATGTATGATCACGTAAGTATTGCTTGCAGACAAGTCCAGAGAATGCACTGTTTAAATTTAAGACATTCATATTTTTTTAATCTCGCGATGTTTCGCTGATATATTTTTGGTGCATTGTTTACATTCTATTTGCTAGAGATGTAAAATTAGCTCTATTATATTTTGATCAAATTTTTAACTGTTTTAGAAATATTTTCGATATTAAGATTAGCTAAGTTTCTTTCAATTTCATTAGATTAAAGGAAATAAAATAAAGCTGTGATAGACTCATACATAAACACTTCCCACCTCATCAAGAACTCTCTACAAGATATTCAACAAAACACAGTAAAAATCAGATGCAGCTGCACCAAGAAAATAAAAGAGAAAAATAACCACCTCCTGCATAAATCAAACCTACGTCTAACTACAGACCATAGAACGAATGTACCTTAAACAGCAATTGCTTTCAACTCAATGTAATATACCAAGCCACGGTAAAATCAGTAGATAACGAAGAAAAATATACATAAGAGTAAATGAAGAACCCTAGAAACTACTCATAAAAAACATCCTTTAAATACGCGAACAGTACAATGCTTTCTAGATATATATAGGAACTTAAAATAATTAAACAAATAAATAAAATAAAAGACACTAAAACAAAAACAAATAAATAAAATAAAATAAAAAATAAATCTAAATCAATAAATAAGCAAATTAAATAAATAATAAACAAATTAACAAACTACGATTGCGCACATAAATACAAGTAAATGTAATAGTAATAATCAACAACAAATAATAATGTTATCAATAATACATAATGAGTCAATAATATTAACAATCAACACTATAAAATAGCTACAAATAATTGCATTCGTATCCACAGTTATTTTTACTCAATAATCTCTAGAATAATTTGAAAGATAACTGTTACCGCCCACCAAATAATCGTTATGCTAATACAATATACATACCCATAGTGTACCAGTGACAAGCATATATAAATAGTCAAGCTAAAACACAAACACTGAAGATTGCGGTTAAGCGTGAAACTGTTGTCACTGGGTGTTGACTTCAATGTCCACTTTTATATTAGCATACGCTCTATCCCTGATATTGAGTACTTTAACCTATAAATATAGCCTACCTTAAAAGTATATTTTCATCATATATATATATATATATATATATATATATATATATATATATGCGTGTGTGTGAGAGAAAGAGAGAGTTGTGAGCGATATATAAACTATTAAATAATAAGATATACGTTTCCAGTCACAATCATCGTTGGCAATATGTAAACGTTCAAATGCCAAAGTTCTGCTGTAGCCAGCTTTCAAATTCACTTAACTGGCAACATCACTTCTTCATTGAATTTCCTCATGAATTTAATAAGAAATGATTCGCTATGAGTTCATAAATCTGTTCATCAGGCATGACAGTGTGAAATAGGTTTTGGCAAGGAAGCTTTCACCCGTCTCTGCTCCAGAATTTCACTTGTTGATTTGCTTAGGAATCCGAGTACTGTCGTCTTTTCTGATTTTTGTTCTACTTAAGGTTGATTTACGTGATTTTCAAAAAGAATATAAATAGACGATTTAAAGAATATATCATGTCACACACATACACACACACACACACATATATATATATATATATATATATATATATATATATATATATATATATATAAAAAATGTATATAAAAGGACTGAGAAAAGCATAAAAATTATCAAGATCGACGTATAAACACGTCCGTAGTTGTTTTATTTTTAACGTGTTTATTTTATTTTTGGACGTGTTTATTCGTCCGTGTCTGAAAATGACACTTTCAGTAAAACGTATACACACTTCTACGCCAGGGCAGGTGTTAAATATTATACTATTTGAGCCATGGATCACAACTTACTCTTTATTAATATAGATAATAATCTTTATTAGTAGGTTATAATGTTTATTAGTAGGTTATAATTTTAATTGTTAATTAGAGTTTATGTTAAGTCATTCTGGATCAAGATTTCAAAACAATTGAAATATTTCATAACTGAACAGATATTTATTGAAAAGGGATAACTTTGGTACAAGACAGCATGAAGAAAATGCCAGTTTGTTTTACTACCTAGAGGTTCATCAGTGATTCTTTTTCAATCTCAAAATTCTATGAAACTCAATAACATTGAATAAGATTGTACGCGAAATTTTAGTCAAGTTTGGATTATACTTGATTTAAACTAATCAATATTTGTCTTTTTTTCTTCTCACTCTCTCTCTCTTTTTCTCTCTCTTTCTCTCAACCCCAAACACACATAAGCGAGCACACCTGCAGACTCTTAATTTTTAAATGAGAGAAACATTGACCAAAAATAAAAAAGAGAAATATTTTTGTTTTTCTTGTTTCTTTTATTTCGCTTTTTTATTAATAAACTAATACACGTGGTGAACAATGATTTTAACAGCGACATTCATTCCGTGAAAAAATTTTTCTTTGTTTGCGATAAACAAATATGTGATTGATACTGTCATATCGATTACTTATGAAATTGTACATAAAGAAATTCGAACATTGCATGGATTCGATTTACCACTAATAATTTCAGAAATAATGCCATCCAAAAACTTCCCGAAATATTAGGTGCGTTAATTATCTACTAAATTCTAAATTATTTTTAAGAGTGATGCGAACGCTGAGAAAATAAGTTTTTCTGTCTTACTAAACAATAAAAAAAACTTCTATCCAAAAACCTATTGGCTTCGCAGTCAGACACAATACGTTCGTAGCAACAGTAGGTTTTAGAATTTAACTTTTAATAAATGTATATCTGTAATTAAAGTCGCAGTTTCTAATCTAATTATATCATAATTGTCGAATTCAATCAATTCTATTTTACAACGATTGTTAATTAATTGCATCTCATCGACAACTTATCTAAATTTGACAAACTGACAGTTTCACTTCAGGTAAGTGGCAATACATAGAATGTGTTCGTTTTACCAGAGTTAATCACCGAAAACCCCATATTCACAGCATCTAGGGAATAATATAAGATGTTTGAGCAACAGTAAATATACTAAGTTCTCTGTAAGTGCGTGTGTGTGATTTTTCGAAACACTGAAGAAAGTAAATCGTTTAAAAAGAAAAAAAAAGAATCAGCTTTTTTTACTCGTATTTCTAATTTTTATTGTTTTTTTTTAATAAATTTAATTAATAATAACAATGTTTTATCTCCAAAATTCCATCTAATACTATTAGATAACAATTTGATAAACCTTTTAACAAAGGAAACAAAAGAAATAGGTGTTTAATGATTGGAGAAAAAATGAATATAACAATGAGATTAAATTTGGATGAATTCGGCTGATTGAGCATTTTTAGCCAAATAAGTAAGATGTTGTTACGTATAGACTGTAACTCCAGGAGAAGAGATTCCAATTCGTATTTATTAGTCTTTATTTGACTTTCATTATACTTATTTAAAGATCTTAGAATAACGATCTGAGACTTGCAATGAAAACGCGTGAGAAATTAATCAAGAAAAGACTAGTAATCATGAAAATGTTTCATTGACAAAATTCGAAAACTATTAATGTTTTGATGCGAAACTTTTGGTTCAATATTAATATTTAGCTAAAAAAAATATTAAGCTTAAGAAAATTAATATCTTTGTTCTTCACGATTAAACTGTATAAAGTTTCTTGACAGTCTTTGTCTAAACAGAATCTATTATCATCTTTCTTTGACTTTCTTCTGTCTTAAATTTACAATCGCTGTTTAAACAGGTTCAATCCATGTACGCAAAATTCAGATTTCATTTATTTACAAGCCCATAAATTCTCATGAAAATACTTCCATCCATGAACCGTGAAAAGCCGTGAGAACCAACAGCCTCCTGAATAACTCTAGCCGCTGAAAAATACATACCCGCATGAAACTTCAAAACTTATGAAACACACACATAACTCCATGAAGCATCAATCGCATGCAAACATAAAATACTCCAGTGTCTCTACATCCTCTCAAAAGTGGATTTAGAGACATTTGAGTTCCGTTCACATCCGCGTCTAATCATATAACATCTTGCAATAAAATAGACGCTTTTATAAATGCACGCGACAAACTGAATTAACTCAGGATATATGATGAAAGATTTTTACTATTTTATTTTGTTTTTTTATAAAGGGCCTCTTTTCTGTTTGGTGAACCGTGTGAATCATGAGCCTTTTAGCTACAGCTTCTGAAGTTCGTTGTCACTGAAAAAACGAAGGAATTTTAGGGAATTTTTGTATTAAATAAAACAAATGAAATGAAATACATTTTTTAATGTTTCTATACAGCTATTTTAGTTTCAAGGATGACAGAAAGAAACAATGGTCGCACTTAGAATTCTTAATTTTCCGATCAGAACTTTCTCGTTTAAAGAAGAATTTAATGAAATATTGAACAATGGAAGTGCTTAGGAAGTCATTGATATTGATCTTATTCAATCATTAAGAGACTTTAATTTGTCCAATCTCGTTTTCATATCATTTCTCTCTCTCTCTCTCTCTCTCTCTCTCTCTCTCTCTCTCTCTCTCTCTCTCTCTGACTGCACATGCGTTGACGGGAAGCCATGTGTCTCTGAATTTTTAGTTATTTTTTATTTCATTTTGCATCTTTGCTGTTCTTCTCAATCAGATTCTCTCAACTTATTCAAATTTTCTATTCTTTACTTTCTTTATCTTTCTTCACTCCATCATTCTTCTCTCTTTCTATACGTCTCTCTTTTTTATACGTCGCTCGTTCAATAAATCGTCTTTTACGTTTAACTTTTTGCTCTAATTTCTACATTCCTTTTCATTCTTCTTCCTCTTTTCCTCCTCCTCCTGCCCTTCCACCACCATTACCACCTTCTTCTTCTTCTTCTTCTTCTTCTTCTTCTTCTTCTTCTTCTTCTTCTTCTTCTTCTTCTTCGTCACATTCCTATTCCACGTTTTCTCTTTTCTTTGGCTCTTTTTTTATTTTCTTTTGTCCGGAAAACTTTTTCCCCTCCAATCAATTTGTGTGGATTTCGCTTTAAAAATTGTTGCTTCTTTGAAGGCAAAAATATCTTGAAAGAATTAATTAATCGCTTCATAATTCCAACTCGGTTGCCCCCTAAACGTCGCTAAACCCCAACCTCCCCTCCTCACCACTGTCACTCTTTTCCCATTCTTCCAGCAGTGTCTACTGACTTGAACTGACTGTTCGCTCCAATCAACTGCTTCCACGGTATCTCGTTCCCTCTTCATCCCCAACGCATTCATTTTTAGTTGTTTTTTTTTTTCTTTCAATCTCGGGATAACAATCAACTGCTTAATGAAACTTAATAAGAATGCTTTTTAATTCCGTTATTATTTGCACTCAGACAATGTTGAACGGAGTCCTTGTGTAGACGATGCTGTACGACTCACATGTGGACAAATCAACACAGACAAACCTAAAGGTAAATTCAATTAGGCTTTTTCAAAAAAAAAAAGTGGGATATTGATTGCGATGAGTGGAAATGGTTTTTGCTTTTCCGCTTGAGTAATATTTTCACGGCCATTGCACTTATTATGAAATGTGATGCGGTTTTGCTGGACATTAGAAGAGAAACAGCTGAGTGAAGACGCTTCAAAATCTAAAGAGACGTGACATATGTCCAACTGGATGCAATCATTTACAAAAATAGTTTTTTATGCAGTAAACAGCTGTAGTTATGTCTTTTCAAAATTTCTCTTCTTATGAAATTCCTGAGGATATATTTTATTGTATTACCTGTTTAACGTCCGTTAAGAAAACAAATACTTTGTGTTTTTCCCTTGTTTTACTTTTAGTAATCAATTTAATTTCAATAACAATTAAACATTTCGCCTAAACTAGGTGCCCGTTTCAGATCGATTTTAAAACAAAATAATCTCGCATATCATTGTAGCGTAAGTTCGATTTTCACTTTTGTCGCTCAAAGTCAGACTAAATTTGGTAATCAGTAGTTACAATTAAACTCAGTAGAAATGAAATATAGAAACGCTAATGTAAAAATGTGTGCCTGCTTTAAAGCGATGGTTAATATGTAAGTTCCAAAACTTTTTCTCCAGTTCAATGAGCCTTCCATTATTACAGCATTGTGCTACACAATATTAAACTTAAGCTTTTTCGCCTAAAAATAAATTTACTGTTTGATATTCAAATTAGAGTCAATATATAAATTGTGTCAGGTTTTCGGTTTCTATTACCTGATTATTTTGAACAATGGTAATCAACGAATTCAATTTACTTTCTTTTTTATTCATTTCGGAATAGAATTTTGCTAAACTGTTCTCTATTGTCACTAGGGACATTAGAGGCTTTAAATTTAATTATAAATGATTATTTTCGAAATGTCATGGATTTACCGCATCAAATTCTACTGATGATCGTCGACATTCAAAAACCTTTGACGGAGGCCGGTGAAATAACATGCCAATCGCGTCCTTATCAGTTACGTTTTTAATTTTTTTACAAAAGTTGTTAAATTAAACGTGCATACACACACACACACACACACACACACACACACACACACACATATATATATATATATATATATATATATATATATATATATATATTTAAATATGCCATGTTATGTGAAAGAGTGGTCAGTATCGCAGATAGAGCGTTTATAGATTGGGTACTTACGAACCAAAACTGCATGTTGAGTGTCAATTTCATGTTTTAAGTTGGTCAGTGAAACTAATGCAGTGTTGATTCCTATGTTCAAACTATATTTATATGCGTATGCGTGTGTGTCTCATATTAATTTAAAACACATCGAGCCTACGTCAAAACATCGATGAAAGCTCTAATTCTCAGTTCTTAGACGAATGACTCTCGATACTCTAAACAATTTGTAACCTTGTGCCAGACTAAACAAACTAAAGTAACTTAGTCTTAGTAATTTGAAACGATTACTGTGTCCAATCGAAAGCAGATTATTTGTATAGGAGAGCAAGAGAAGTTCTCCTCTTACCTGATTCCGTTCACTGTGATGTAAATATCCGGTAGTGAAATTTAAAGCGTGAGAATTGGCGACACGAACTGTTAATCAAGACTGCGTGTTAATTTGGTTTATGCTACCTACATAGCTATCTACATAGCTACCTACATAGCTATGGTATGCATAAGGTTCTAAGTATATCGACTTCTCACCATCACAAGCAAACACATTCTCTTAACTTGAAATAAAAGTCAAAATCAAAGCAAGTATAGTTCAGACTATTTGATGATTATCCTTTTGTTTTTAATGTTACTAGAACGTCTTTTGACATCTGGCCAGAAACGGTTTCATTTTCTTTTCGAGTAGTCTCTAGTGATCTTGTCTTTTTACTGTTGAATGATTTCCTGTTAAACCATCAATGACAATCGATCACACTATCTTACGTGGCGAAGCAAAAATAACGAGATCAATTGTCCGATCAAATTGACAACGATAAGAATTCACCTGAAAATTAAACCCAACAACAGTATTTAGCCACGAACAACTCTTTGTTGCTTTTTCCAAATCATCACCAATGCAAAATATATGCGAGTGAATCATAGTCTGTAACCTATAACAATTACATGATGAATTTAGATCTAAACTTTATTGTTAATGATTAAACCTGTCATAATTCGTCCTATAAATGTCAGAATATGTCGATCTTCTTGTGTTCCAAATACGCGATGTAAATTTTCCATCATTCTTAATCATAGTTCTGGCTAAAAACAGAAAAACGACTGAGTAAAGGTCGGTTTTTATTGGTTGATTGTATTACCCTCAGTACTCAGAATACTAGATATATCATCCACAAGTTGAATCAATTCCAACCTACTCAAATAGTCCTGCCGAAGATCTTAAGTACACATTAATTCTTGGATAAATCAAATTTTGCTTGTTATGAAGTAAGAAGTTTACGTGAATCGTCTTTTTTCCTAATTTTTTTCCGGGTGTTTTTTTTTTTTTTTAATTTTCATAAAAGCACTGATTGCAGTGAAGCAGTTAAAATTTAGCTCGGATTTTAACAAATCATTAATCGGAAAAGTTTAAATTCTAAACGAAAGAGTTGATCTGTGTAATAGTGTAGAGGTGGAGTAGTTTTCCCCCCTTTGTAATATTTCACATTTTGGGGAAGTCAATAAATATACTGATTAAAATCAAGCAATGAACCTAAAAGGATTTGTCCACGAGAGGCCCCCTTCCATTTCATGTTTCCTGATCATTTAAAAGCATTTCAAAACGATTTCTCTAATTAATTGGCTGTTCATCCCTTTTTTTTATAGATGAAATTAGGCGGGTAAACAACTGAATAATCGATTCTCCCAAAAAACTACATTACTTGCCCAGACAGTGACAACAAGAAACTATTAGCGCAATTTGCATCCTTGACATTGACTACAGACATATTAACGGGATTTGCACATTTCATTAGCCAGACTAAAATTCTTATTCTTGGTTTCTTACACTTTGACCATTTCCAATCATTCTGTTTCCGCCAACGTAAGCATCAATTGTTGTTTAATGAGTGCCATTGATGTGCGACCTTCCTTACGAGTTCACAAGCTTTTCTATAAACATTCCACGTTTCAGTTAAGCATGACTTTTACTTTAAATTTTCCATCATAGAAATACTAGAATTGTCTACATAAAGTACAGCTGCTAATCATTGCTAAAAATACCTATGTGACAGAACCACAGACATCAGCAGAGGGACTAAATGCTTTCAGCAACAGAAGGATCTATTTTTTCAAGATAGCGATATTATGAGGCTCTTTGATTTGCGTTTTATGAATCTGTCTTTCTCTTAAATATTTTACTTTACCCAATAATTTTTATTCATCGGACTTTAACTGAAAGGCAAAATCAAAATTTGTCAGAATGTTTACATTATTGTCCAAATTATTATGGCGTACGAACAAGTGGAAATTTTGTCAAATTGTAAATTTGTACATGTTTACAATTGTTACAATAAGAGAGTGATTCACTATCAATGAAATGAATTCATGTGCATAGTTTAAATTAAAAACTTTTCGTTCAAATTTTTAGCTTAAAACAGCCGTTGTCGAAATCAAATTTTTTCCATGAGACATAACTGTGTAGATTTTTATTTCATTCTGTTCGGCTTATTTAAGCAAGTAATATTTTGTTTTATTAAATTCTCAATCCAAATTCCATATCAGAGATGTTATTATTATTATTATTATTATTATTATTATTATTATTTATTATCTGGAAAAGAGAAAAAAAGTAATTTTAGCAGAAGAGAGAATCGTACTTACAAGTGGAAAAATAGCAGTAAAATACAAAATTCGGAAAAGATCAGAGCTTTTGGTATTATCTAACGAGTGCCATCTTGCAATGAACTTAGAATAACGCTAAGTTAAAAATAGTTTTAAAATTTTCTGGAGAAAATAAAGATCTTATAAACAATAAACTGATGAGTTAAAACACAACTACTTGTCTAATAAAGTGTTAGTCTTCCATGTGCACATAAAACAGCCTTTGCTCGATCAAATATGGACTATACATGGAGACATTGCAGATTTTACTTGTTCGTACAACATAATTTCATTTTATAATAGGATCTGAGCGATTTAGGGCAGCACAAATGAAGTCTTCTCCATGTTCCGGAAATCATTCCTGTGACTCGTGAAGTGTGGCAGATTGTATTGTCGATGAGTTTTATAATCAAGCATTGTACTTCTTCTTTAATGATATCAAGGGAGTTGGTACGCGATAACTTATCTTCCACATAAATAATAGGACTGAATATTTATTAGTAGAACGTTGTACAAACCATCACACTGCCGCCGCTTGTTTTCCTACAATACGTTCTGCTACCTTCGTTCTCTTTTCTTTTCTTTTTTTTTTTAAGCATTACGCCCCAAGCAAGGCGTGAAGCCACTAGGATGCAGGTGGTTGCGGAAGATTTGGAGCGAGAGCTGATAGGAGTGATAGAAGAAAGGATGAAGAGAAGGATAGTGGGTAGATCAAGGTAACTGGAGATGTCGATTGACATTACATTTGAATAGTTGGAGATT